GCCACCACTGTCCCTGTCTTGGGCTCTGGTTAGGCGAGGCAGCCTCCTAACCTCCCTCTAATGTTGCTAGGAACCCACCTCGGGGCTTCCTGGCAATCTTCGGGGCTCCCCTGGAGAGTTGGCAACTGGCCATTTTGCCCTTGTTCTCTTCCTCAGGGAGTCCCCAACCCGCCCCTAGCGTGTCCAAGCGGCTGGGGGAACTAGCGGGGCAGAGGGACTTCTCAACGTCAACAGTAAAAGGGATTTATTTTGAAACCACTCAACTATATACAGGCATATTAACAGTGAACTGAAGAATCAGAAGTAAAGGCGACAAAACCGCTCCCTCTCTCCCTTCTCTACACTCAGGCCCTGCCTGGATGGTCCGCAGGGCAGGCACATGACTTTGCTTGCACTGGAGAAGGTCAGATTAGCACCACTCCCAACATGGCCCCTCTGCCTCCTGCAGGAAGTGGCTCTCCCCCCTGCAGCATTCTGGGGCTGATCTCCTCACAGTAGGGTTGCCAAGTCCGAAGCGGCGCTGGAGCGGGGGACTCCAGCACTGCTTTGGGAGTGCGTGCGTGCGCCGCAACCACGTCACCCAGAAGTGATGTAACCATGCCGGGCACGCTGGGGCGAGGCCACAACCATCCAAGGGAAAACCATAGAGCTTTCCCTTGGATGACCGTGGCCCCGCCCCCAGCATGCCCGCCCCCAGCATGCCTCCAGCATGCCCGGCGTGATCGTGTCACTTCCAGGTAACGTGCACGTCACATACTTTGGGGGTTGGGTTCCCCCGGGGCCTGATCCGCCGGCAGCGGGGAACGGGCCTCTGGGGCGGGGGTTGCTTTGGGGGTGGGGTTCCCCCGGGGCCCGATCCGCCGGCGGCGGGGAATGGGCCTCTGGGGCAGGGGTTTCCCCGCCCCTCGGGGGAACTTGGCAAGCCTACCTCACAGCCTTGATGGACTTCCCGTCCTCTCTAGAGTCGGACTCGACTGTGGGACTGAACAAGGGGGGGGGGGGAATGAGGAGGAGACTAGGTCCAAGCCTACCTCAAGTTTGATGGCCTCCTCCTATCCAGCCCACACCAACTTACCCACAAAATGGCATTTCTCCACAGGCTCAAGAGGGAGACCTGGCCATTTCCCCCTTTTTCTGTGTACTAGTTGCTGCTGCATTCCTTCTGTGCTGCTTCTCTGCTGTAACGCTGTTATCTCTAAGCGGTGCAGGTGGTGTAGTGTCTGGGCCTGGGAGAACCGTGGGAGCACTGTCGGTTCCCAGCCTCGGCTCTAATGGTCTGAGGCTCCTTCTCCCGCGCGCGGGAATATGGCTAATTGGCCTATGGTGGGGTGTGTGTGCATACGAATGCCCTATCTCCCATTATGCTTGTAGGGGCGATGCTATTCTTTTTTTTTCTTTTCTTTTTTAAAATTTTTATTAAGAAGAATAAAACAACATAACAGCATATTCAAATATGTCAAAAGAACCAACCATTACAGTAAGTGATTAACCGAAGAAAAACTTAGAAACACAATCAAACCCAACCCGTCTACGTAATAATAAACCTTAATCACCATCCTTTAGCCTGTATACTGATGAATGATGCAAATAAAACCGGCTTCTTGAATGGTGATCGAGCTAATGTGTTGTATCCTACGCTCTTGTACGAAGCTAAGATTAAAGACGTACCCAGGGGACATAAGCAGCCTTAGAAGGAATTATGTCCTTCTCTGACATATACTGAAGCACTCTAAACCACACTGCGACAAATCGCTCATAGGCCGTTGATGTCTCTACTGATGTAGCTTGAGTGACCTGGGTCAGCTTCTCTAAAATAAATAGATCCCAGATTTTATCATGCCATGTTTGTATCAGGGGAGGAGAGCTGGCTTTCCAACCAGCCGCTATGGTTAGACGTGCTGCAGCCATTCTTAACAGTGCTTCTGTCAACGGATCCATAGCTCTGCAATAAAGTATTACCTTTCTGATAAGTGTGTACTCCGTTGTTGGCTGTGGGCTCTGACATCTGGTTAGGTGGCCACTTGGCTTAAGTTTGAGAGCAAAACTGAAGTCAAAAAGGCCTGAGCCCGTTAAAGGACATCAGTGGCGGCAAACGTTAACCTGCCTTTCTTGGATCCCTTTGTCTGCTCTGACCTTCCAGGCCCATCGTGGACCTCATGGGCACCATGGAGACCCAGTCGGAACCTTCGGAACTCGAGCTGGACAACGTGGTGATAACAAACCCGCATATTGAAGCCATCCTGGAGAATGAAGACTGGATTGAAGACGCCTCGTAAGTCACGGCGTGGCCGGCTCCGAGCTGGGAAATTCCTGGAGGTGGGGGGGCCGAGCCCGGGGGGGGAACGCATCTGCCGGAGGACCTCGGCAGAGGGCACAGAGCCACGGAGGCCCCCCTCCGAAGCAGGGGAGCCGACCTCTGTCGCCTGGAGAGGCGCTGTAGCCCCAGGAGATCCCCAGGCCCCGACTGGAGATCAGCAGCCCTTCCTCCCAGGCAGTGGTGGCGGAGTGCTGCCTCCTCCGTCTCTGTCAACCAGCCAAGAACGACAGCCGCCACAGCAGAAAAAGCAGCATCGGAAAATATGGGTATTTGTTCAGGATTCGTCTAACCCCCATTTGCATGTTTAAGGTAGAGACGTCACTCAGCAAATGTCTGGGAGCCCAGCAGGCCCGTAGCTAACGCTGGGCCCACAGGGTGCCCCCTCGCAGTTTTTACGGGGCCCCCTCCATGGCCAACCCTAACACCCTTCTAAGCAGGAGCCCCCCACCCCACCCCCCTGGCCTAGGCGATGATAAAAAGAGAGAGATCGCATCCCATCCACGGAGCAAGCCAGGCCGCTCTGCTGGACCAGACTGGAAGTTTCCCCTTCGCCGGAGCTGGAGGGGAAGGGTGGAACTGCCCCTTCTCTGCCCAATGGAAGGAAGGAGGCCGGGGGATCCACAGCGGCAGCAGCAGGCAGCATTCCCGAAAGCCAGTGACACGCAAAGGTGGCGGGGTGCCACGCGCGCTTCCGCCCCAAGTGCCCGGAGGGGGCGGTGGGCACATCGCCTTGGGGGCGCCTGAATTTCGCTGCGCTGCGGTCCGCCGCCCCCGGCCTTTCCCTCTGGCCTCTCCCCCGCAGCCTTTACGGCACTCCACCCCTCCTGGAAAGGTTAGCCCGAGACCTGACAGCAAGAACTCCCCGAGACAGACACAGAGATCGGTCCAAACCCCCCAAAACAGATCTGAATCAGCAGGGATCCCGGGGGACTCATTTACAGTCTCCTCACCCCTTGGTTGCAGCCCGGGCTGCCTTAGGAATTCCACCAATTAATTCAAAGTTAATTTAATTAACTTTGATTTAATTGGCTGGTGGCCCCCCCGGCCCCCTCCCCCAAAACTCCTTAGCTACGGGGCTTGAGCCCAGCCATAATTTTGCACTAAAAACCTCTGGGTCTGATGCAGGATTGGGCTAGTAGTGAGTTCCCCACACCCTTCCCTCCTGGGCTGCAGATACAGGCAATCGCCAGCTGCCTGCACAACTCATCCCCTGCACTGCTCATTTAATTTCTTCTTTCTTTTTTGTTACTGTTCATTCGACGCAGTGGTCTCAAACAGCCACTGAGAGTTTATGTTTAAGCAATTAATGGAAAGCTTAATGATACATAATGATGGGGTTTATGCAGTTGTTTTAGAATGTTTCTGTATTTCTACAACAGCAGCCAAAGATCTAGGGACCAGGCCCATAGCCACAGCGGGGCATCTCGAGGCTAGGCCCCCTGACTTACTGGCAAAGCCCCACAACTTGCCTGCTTGTCAGGCAAGGAGGGATAGAAACCGAATTAAATAAATAATTAAATAAATAAATAAACAAGCGACTTCCCATCCAGCCCAGGGCCCCCGAGTGGCGGAGGGTGCGGGGAAGGAGGCAGGTATTCCTGCTCAGCTGTCTGACGCGAAGGGCTGGCTACAGTGGCCACGCAGAGCCAGGCAACACCTCTGTTCCCCCCCCCCGAAAGTCTATTTCCCTCGGAAAGTACTTGTTGCTAGTGGGACGCACTGCGCTGTCTTGGCACGAGGCGCCGGCTATGGTGGTGCAAGGAGCTGCTGTGAGGATAGGGTTGCCAAGTGTGAATGCAGCCGCCAGCGGGGTACTCCTGGCTGGCGGCTGGAGCGCGTGCGCGTGCCGCATCCACATCATGCGGCACACTCGGGTCTCGAACTGCTGAACTACCGACCTTCCACAGCTTGCAGTTCAGCGTCTTAACCCCTTGAGCCACCGCAGCTGTGAGACATGAGGGAGTCTTTCGGCAGCCTCTGCCGTGACGTCGATCTGAGTGTGGCATTTTTCTCTCCCTTCAGGGGCCTGGTTTCCCACTGCATTGCCATTCTGAAGGTAAATTTCTTATTCTGGGGGAGTTCCAATCGCAGCATGCCCTTCAAGGAGGAGCTTGCTCTGTGGGAGGTGCAGGGAGAGCATAAGAAAAATGGGGCTGCGGGGCAGGCAGGGCCAACAGCACTGATGCGCACTTCTCCTTGGGACAGATCTGCCACACCCTGACGGAAAAGCTTGTCGCCATGACGATGGGTTCGGGGGCCCGGATGAAGTCTCCGACCAGCCTGAGTGACATCATTGTGGTGGCCAAGAGGATCAGCCCCAGGTGAGAGCCGACAGGGGGGGACATCAGCAGGTGAGCGGGCCGGTGGATGGGGGGGGGGATTCCACGGCCGGAGCTGTTGGGATACAGGCAGACTCTGTGGTGGAAGGGAACGCCTGTAAAATGATGCACTTGGGTTTCATAGGCACACTCATCAGAACCATATAGCTGCTCACAGGGGTCATTTCGTAGAAAAAGAGGTGCAGGAGCTCATTAGCATAGCTCATTAGCATAAAATTAGCATAACTTATTTGCATATGCCACACACCCCTGACATCACCAGAAGTGTGTCAAAAGGCAACACCCACCGCTCAGGCTCCACTGGGCTGTTTTGGATTGCTAGCTACTGGGGGAACGTGCGGATCTGTCCTCGCAGAGGAGGGAGAGCTTGTACCTGAATAAAACTTGGTCTTAAAGGTGCCACTGGACTGTTTTGGACCGGGGGGGCCAGAGGGAGCTCTCTCTGCAACTTATCTGGCTGCTTCTTGCTCTGACTGAGGGCTGCTGGGAGCAGGGGGTGGGGCTTGTTGCATGTGCCCGCCGCCTGGGCTCTTTACTGCCGGAGCTCCGCTCCTGTGCGCTCCTGCAGGAAATGACCCCTGGCTGCTCAGGCACTTCCATAGTGCATAGCTGGATTTTGGTGCGTCCTGAGCCAGTGGGTTCTTATCACCATTAAAAAAAATATCTTCCCCCTTCCTAAGATGTGAAATCCAGCTCCTATCAGGCCAGGGGCCAGGAGTCAAGCAAAGAGCAAATGGGGCCCACGCTCCCGTGACAGACGCCACCGGGGCAGGCCGACTGAGGCTGTTCAGAGGCCCCGGTGGCCAGCCCAGGGGGACTGACCTCCCCACACCTTCCCCTCCTCCATGCATCTTGAGTCCCCTGAGCAGCCATGCAGGCCCCAGGGTTCCCTCTCAGCTGAGTAAGTGTGAGCCAGCTGGCAGTTTTTTTAGCCTCCGGCTCGCACATTTTCATCTCCGCTCAGGGAGGATGTGGCTCCAGAGCAATGTGCCCTCTAAGCTGTGGAGCCTTGTGAGCAAAAATCCTACTTTGTGAGCCGCTGGCATGAAAGCTGCGAGCGAGCGATTGGGCTGCTGCATAAATCAGTTTGCTTTGGACGCAATGTTCCCTCTAAGCTGAGTTTGTGCGAGCCAGCTCACAGTTTTTTAGCCTCCGGCTCGCACATTTTCATCTCCGCTCAGGGAGGATGTGGCTCCAGAGCAATGTGCCCTCTAAGCTGTGGAGCCTTGTGAGCAAAAATCCTACTTTGTGAGCCGCTGGCATGAAAGCTGCGAGCGAGCGATTGGGCTGCTGCATAAATCAGTTTGCTTTGGACGCAATGTTCCCTCTAAGCTGAGTTTGTGCGAGCCAGCTCACAGTTTTTTAGCCTCCGGCTCGCACATTTTCATCTCCGCTCAGGGAGGATGTGGCTCCAGAGCAATGTGCCCTCTAAGCTGTGGAGCCTTGTGAGCAAAAATCCTACTTTGTGAGCCGCTGGCATGAAAGCTGCGAGCGAGCGATTGGGCTGCTGCATAAATCAGTTTGCTTTGGACGCAATGTTCCCTCTAAGCTGAGTTTGTGCGAGCCAGCTCACAGTTTTTTAGCCTCCGGCTCGCACATTTTCATCTCCGCTCAGGGAGGATGTGGCTCCAGAGCAATGTGCCCTCTAAGCTGTGGAGCCTTGTGAGCAAAAATCCTACTTTGTGAGCCGCTGGCATGAAAGCTGCGAGCGAGCGATTGGGCTGCTGCATAAATCAGTTTGCTTTGGACGCAATGTTCCCTCTAAGCTGAGTTAGTGTGAGCTAGCTCACACTGACTCAGCTTAGAGGGAACATGGATTCGTATCCACCCTCCAAAGCAGCCGTTTCCTCCAGAGGTTCTGAGATCTGTACTCGGGAGATGAGCTGTGATTCTGGGAGATCTCCGGGTCTCACCTGTAGGTTGGCAACCCTACATGACACCTGTGACGTCTTTCAACAATGTAGGCGGGGCCTTTGACACAGCTGAGCAGGGGCCCCCACCCCCCGGAAGGTTTGGGGCCACAAGTGGCTGCCCGTTTAACCTTTATGGCTGAGTCGGCCTTCCGCGTCAGTCAGGGATGGGAGCGGTATGCTTTGTTCTGAAGTATACAAAATCCCTCCCCCCCTTTCCCTCTTGCCTGCACATCTTCTCTTTCTCTCCTGCCTTCTTCCTTGTTAATTAGTCCCATATTCACCTTACTCTTAAGTTAGAAAGAGCCTTCCGAAGGGCCATCTCTCCACCCAGGCCTGCCATGTTTTCCCACACCTTAAAAAGGATATTATAGCTTTGGGAAAAGTGCAGAAAAGGGCAACTCGAATGATCAAAGGGTTGGAACACTTTCCCTATGAAGACAGGTGAAAGCGCTTGGGGGCTCTTTAGCTTGGAGAAACGACGACTGAGGGGTGACGTGATTGAGGCTTATAAGATTATGCATGGGAAAGAGCAGGTAGAGAAAGAGGTACTTTTCTCCCTTTCTCACAATACAAGAACTCCTTGTGGGCACTCCATGAAATTGCTGAGCGGTCGGGTTAGAACGGAAAAAAGGAAGCACTTCTTCACCCAAAGAGTGATTAAACACATGGAATTCACTGCCACAGGAAGTGGTGGCGGCTACAAGCATGGACGGCTTCAAAAGGGAATTAGATAAGCATATGGAGCAGAGGTCCTCTTCACCACAAGCAGTGTTCCCTCTAAGCTGAGTTAGTGTGAGCTAGCTCACAGTTTTTTAGCCTCCAGCTCACATGTTTTTGTCTTAGCTCAGGAAGGATGGGTCCAGAGCCAACTAATTTATGCAGTAGCCAAATTGTTTGCTTACAGCTTTAATGCCAGGAGCTCACAAAGTAGAATTTTTGCTCAGAAAATTCCACAGCTTAGAGGGAACATTGGCCACAAGGTATAGATAGGGACTCCGGGGCAAGTGATGCTCTGTCATCTTGGTGCTTGGGGTGGGGGGGTCAACAGTGGGAGGTCTTCTAGTGTCCCGGCCCCACTGGTGGACCTCCTGATGGCACCTAGTATTTCTGGCCACTGTGTGATACAGAGTGTTGGACTAGATGGGCCTTTGGCCTGATCCAGCATTGGCCTCTCTTATGTTCCTATGTTCCCCAGGGTAGATGATGTTGTCAGATCCATGTACCCGCCGCTGGACCCGAAGCTTTTGGATGCCAGGTGAGTATGCTTCTTGGGGGGGGGGGGGAAGGCTGCCCATATTGCACGTGTGGATCCCACCTCTGAGTGTGCTGCCTGATGTCCTTTCGGCGCACCGGCTTTCATTCAAGAAGGAAGCCGTCTCCTCGGACTTCTAGAGCCCCGGCCAGAGGGCAACGCTTGCAGGGGCCGCTGCCTGCCTCAGCCACGCAGGGGAAACGGGTCCCTTTTGCCTTTCTGCTGTTCTGAGGGAGTCACACCTGGGGACTGGCAGGTGCAGAAAGTGTGAAGGAATGCCAGGCTTGGGGAAAAAAGAATTGCACCCTGCAGAAAGTTGTGGCGTGAGCAAAAGGTGAAGTGTAGGTTTCGAGGGTTCAATAACGACAGAACACACAGGGATCTGTAGAAGCTCTCTGACCAGCAAGCTCTCAGTCCTCTCTCTGTCCCAACTGTTTTTCTTGAACTGCCTGTCAGCAGCGCTTTATTTAGAGCAGGCTCACCCATTTCTCCCCCCTGCCATGCACAGTGAAAACGTTACAAAGGAGAAGCCTCTAACTAGAATCACAATATGTTCTTAACAGGATGTTCTTTACGCTGAAGCTCTCCTATCTTGCCCGAATGTAGCCAAGTTTATACTCTCAGCAAACTCAGCAGACCCGCAGGGTTTGTGCACTGCTTGCCAATCTCCCTGAGAGAACTTGAACTCCCGGGCATGCCTCACGGGAGTTTTTCATTCCCACAGTGAAGCGATATCTTCCTTTATCTATTTATGAACTTATTAAAGCAATACAGCGTACGCCCCCCACATTGTATAGCTCAAAGGGTGCGTTCAGACGCGGCGTTTCAGCCGGCATAAACTGTACTGGTTGGAACCGGTGCAGTTTATGCCGGCTGAAACGCGATCACACTTACCTCCATTTTGCGGATCCCATCGCTGTATGCCCGCTCACACGCTGCGGGCGTCGGCTTTATTTTTTTAACTCAGTTTGAGCATGCGCATAGGCAGCCATTCACAGAATGGCGATCTTTGCGCATGCTCAAAACACCCCATATTACATTTAAACTTTAAAGGTAAGGACTTACCTTTAAAGTTTAAAGACCAAACTGGCCTCCCTGAAGTCCCGGACTCCTCCAAAACGCTACACTAAGGGCTTTTTTTTTTTTTAACAAATGCTCAGGGCGAAGCTTTGCCCAAGCGCACATCGCTCAGTTAAAAAAAAATGGCGGGGGGAAAACGGCAGTCAGGCTTCCGAACGGAAGTGTCTAGACACCGGTGGAGAGTGATCAGACGGAGGGGTAAAGCGATTGCAACCGTTGTACTCAGGATACCACCACTTGGGGACCTAGTGGCAGAGTACAACGGTTTAAAGGCCTTTACAATGGTTAGGGACGGGAGGCAGATGTTCGCCGTGTGAACGCCGGTAAGTACACCAGTTGGAACCGGCACCTATACCGTTGTAAAGCCACCGTCTGAACGCACCCAAAGTGTAATAAGGTAAAAGAGAGATCTTCTCCAGTCCTTCGCCAGCTCCCTTTAATGCAGTTAAGAGGAAGAGACGAAAAGCAACAAAGAGATAATGCAGGCAAATTGGATTACCCAAATTTGGGGGCCTGGCGTAGGGCGACCCTGCTGAAGACCCCCGGCCATACACCGTGGTGGTCCCAGTCCACACCAGGATCTCACACCCCGACCGTTTAAAAGAAAGAAATGCTGGAAGCTCCGGTGACTTCTTATTTTGGATTCGCCTACTGCTCTTTTTCAGTGATGTGCATGTTAAGTGTCACCAACGTGAAGGCTCTCGTAACTTTGCCGACAGCAGCCGAGGAGGCGAGAGGCGTGGGCTTTCCTCTCCAAAAAGAGAGACGTCTTATTCCTAAACTGTGTGGTGATCTAAAACATGCCTCCCTCCACTTTCCCAGGCACCCTCCTTGGCTGCTTCTACCGTGGACCCGGGGGGGGTGGGGGGGAGATGTTGTCTTCACAGGTTGCTTTAAATGGGAGTGCCCCACAACGTCATGTGTGGGCTAAGCAGGACGCCTGAGCCTCCTGGGGCTTTCTTTCAGGAGCCAAGGACAGCTTCCTAGGGTCCAGCTCCAAGGGAAAACTGCAGGGGGCTGCTGGGGGGGGGCGGGGGAGCAGAGTGTCCATGGGGACACTTGGAGCCACTGCGGGGAGGATGCAGCACTCAGCGTTGCCTTCAAAATGGCAAGGCTGGAGAGGGAGGCCTGTAGCTAACGTGGGGCCCACGGGGCTCGGCCCTCCCGCAGTTTTTACGGGCCCCGTCCTCGGCTTCCCCTTCCCCCCCATTGCTGCCCTCCGCCCAACGGCCGGCGAGGAGGCTCCTCTGTTCCGACAAGGCTGCTGGGAAGCGCCTCCTCCCTGCCTGCCCGCCCGCCCCTTGGCACGCCAGCCGTGCCAATCTTTCGCTCCCGATCCCCCTCCCCGGGGGAGGCCCTGCTGGCTGGTCTCTCTGGGGAAGGAAGGGGGGCTCCTCCTCCTCCTGGGCGTGCGGATCTGCTGCCGGGCACACCACCACCCCCAATTCCCCAGTCTGGGGCGGAAGTTTCTCCGCTGCCCGCCGACTCCACGGCCCGATTCGGAACCCTTTCAGCCTGCCGGGGAATGTGCAGATCTGCCCTCACAGAGGAGGGAGAGCTTGTACCTGAAGGCAGGCCGGGGGGGGGCTCTGCAACTTACCTGGCTGCTTCTTGCTCCTTGTGGCCCGACTGAGAGCTGCTGGGAGCAGGGGGCGGGGCTTGTTGCATGTGCCCGCCCCCTGGGCTCCTTACTGCCGGAGCTTCACTCCTGTGCACTCCCGCAGGAAGCGACCCCTGCCAGTAAGGTTACCAACCTCCAAGTGGGGCCTGGGGATCTGGAATTACAACTGATCTTCAGACTCCAGAGATCAGTTTCCCGTGGAGAAAATGGCATCCGGGGAGGCATCCTCACTGAGCTCCCTTCCCTCCGCAAGCTCCGCCTCCTGAAGGCTCCGCCCCCCAAGTCTCCAGGTACTTCCCAACTCAGAACTGGCATGCCTACAGAGTGTGTGTAACTAGGGTTGCCGGTTCCCACCTGGCAATCAGCAGGGGATGGGGAGGGGACTTACCAGTAGAAATAAGGCCTAGGCCACGTTGCTGGCGCGGAACAGGAAGTGACATCATCATGCAGCAACTTCTGGGTGACACTCTGGTATTTGGGCAAAAGCTCTATGGTAAAAACCGGCTTCTACTATAGAGTTTTTGTCCAAATATCAGAGCGTCACCCGGATGTCCCTGGCATGATGATGTCACTTCTTTTGTGACACTGGCAACATGGGTGGCCTAGGCCGCCTTCTTTCTGCTGGTAAGTCCCCCCACCAGCCAGCTCCTGGAGATTTGAGGTGGAGCCTGGAGAGGACAGGGAACTCAGTGGGGGCATAATGCCACCCTCCAAAGCAGCCATTTCCTCCTGGGGAAACTGATCTCTGCAACCTGGAGATGAGCTGCAGTTCTGGGGGATCCCCAGGCCCCACCTGGAGGCTGGCATCCTTACCTAATAGCTCAGGTGTGTGAGCATGGTACTGAGCTCTGGTGCTTGCTCTTGCAACTGCATACAGCACAATGTATTTGGAGGACGAAAGACCTTACAAATGTTTGAGCTGAGATTTTAGCACCTCTGCTTTGTGGGAAGTGTTTCTCATCGGATCATAGAACGTTAGAGTTGGAAGGGACCTTGCAGGACATCTAGTCCAACCCCCTGCACTCTGCAGGAGCATAGCCGAAAGAGAGCCCTACATACCTACAACATACCCGAAAGAGGGTCGTCCAGCCTCCGCTTGAAAACGTCCAGCGAAGGAGCATCCACCCCCTCCAGAGGCAGTCTGTTCCACTGCTCAACCACTCTTACAGTCAGGAAGTTTCTCCTGATATTTAGCTGGTATCGACTCCCTTGTAATTCCCACCCATTAGATCTAGTCTTGCAATCCGGAGCAAGAGAGAAGAGATCTGCTCCATCTTCTACATGTTGTTGTTGTTCAGTAGCACAGTCGAGTCCGACTCTTCGCGACCCCATGGACCAGATCACGCCAGGCCTTCCTGTCTTCTGCCGTCCTCTGAAGTTTGCTGTACATGACGGCCCTTCAAATCCTTGAAGACTGCAATCGTGTCCCCTCTAAGCCTTCTCTTTCCCAGGCTAAACAGACCCAGCTCTTTCAGCCTCTCCTCATAAGACTTGGATTCCAGCCCTCTCACCATCCTGGTTGCCCTCTTCTGGGCACGCTCGAGCTTGTCAACATCCTTCCTAAAATGTGGTGCCCAAAACTGGACACAGTACTCCAGGTGAGGCCTGACCATAGCAGAATAGAGCGGAACTACCACCTCCCGTGATCTGGACACAGTGCTTCCGTTAATGCATCCTAAGATTGCATTCGCTTTCTTCGCAGCCACATCGCACTGCAGGCTCATGTTTCGCTTGTGATCAACCAGAACACCCAGGTCCCTTTCCCTCCTCAACATGCTGCTCAGGCAGTGGGGCAGGGGGCCTGGGAATCCGAGAGCAGCGTGTGCAGTTTAGACAGGCCCCGACTGCATAGCTGTAGGAGAGCAGTGCAGACATCTGCGTGGCAAACCCGAATGAATTCACTGTTCTCCTGGCTGGAAATTGGGAACCTAAAAGTAGAGGTTGGGAACCCAGGTATCAGGCTAATTGCACAAGGCAGAAACATCTGCTGATGTGCTGAGTTCATCGTGAGAAGCTACCTTGGCAAAGGGATTTTCCCATTAAAACAAAAAAAGGGATGACATGTAGGAACAGTGAAGAATTCACTGTTCTCCTGGCTGGAGATTGGGAACTCAAAAGTATATACGTACTAAGAGCATGAGAAGTCTGGTGACTGCTCATAGCAATTGACGTGGCCAGGTAGTTGGTTTGGGTGAACGTGGCCCCCTCCACCTAGGACTGCTGAGAGAGCGGGGGGGGGCAGATGATGGGGCCTGGGGTGGGCAGGAGGGGCCCGGTCTCGCCCTCGCTTTCACCCAACTGAGGTCACCCCATTCCTTTTGCAGGACGACGGCCCTGCTGCTCTCCGTCAGCCACCTGGTCTTGATTACCCGCAACGCCTGCCACTCGCCCGGCGGCATGGACTGGATCGACCAATCGCTGTCTGCAGCTGAGGAGCACATGGGTGTGCTGCGCGAGGCAGCCCTGGCCTCTGAACCGGAGCGCGTTGCCCCTGGGGCCGAGGGCTTTCTTCAGGAGCAGTCTGCCATCTAACAGGCCCAGCGGAGGCCCTGAGGCCCTCTCCTCCCCTCCCCATCTCTTCCCTACCCCCTCCCAGCACTGCTGTCAGGAGGAAGGACCGTGGCCAGCCTACTGCGTAGAATAGCTTTGCTTATCGGGGGGCACATCCAAGAGCTGCGGAACAGAATCTCTGCTTGGCTGCTACTTCGTTCTAACTCTCCTTTGGGTGGAACAGCAGCGGCCCTTAAGACAGCGGGTGTGGTTCTGGGGATCATTTCTCTGCCATTAGAGGAGGAATTTAGTTGTGCTGACAACTCTGGAAGTAAGGCCAGAGGGGTGGGAATGAATGCTGAGAATCTTAATGCTGGGTCCAAACGGCTCCTTTAGACAGCACACGGGGACTCAGGCCACGGGGCTGTCTTGCTTTTCCCTCCCTGCATTGTTATGCTCTTGAAAGACCCCACTGTGCCCAAAGTGGAAACTGTACAGAGTTCAAAACTTGAAGGTTATCTTCAGTACCAGGGCACAGTACCAATTTTGACCTGAAATACTTCAGTTTCTTCAATACCTAAGTGGGGGCAAGCTGACTTTGTACCAATCTTTAGAGGGGTTTTGTTTTTGCCGGCATTTCCCCCTCCTTTTGGAGCATCATTTATGTAACTTTCTTGACAAGGGCTCAAGAGTGGGCAGTCTTTTAAGGTCGCCTCCCCCCCCCCCCGGCATTGTCGCTTACTGTTCATAGGTTACAGCGAACACGTGTACATCTGTTTTTAAGAAAAAAACAACACACATTCACTTTACAAATGAAACCGGGGATCAAAACCTGGCTAAGTGTGGGGTCAAAACCGTACATTCAGCTGGGTACATATGCCAAATATGGGCTCTTCCACATTCTCATTTCTCACACACTGCTGTATGTCGAGCAGTTTAAGTGCAGGAAAATATGCCAGACATACAATGATGTACTATCAAACTGACCACTAGAGGGAGCAAAATGCATGTTAAAAAAAGAAGCAGCAGCAATAGAGACTCACAGGGGAGGAAAATGAGAGAATGCGGAAGTGCGCTGAAACATGAGAATTATCCAAAGCACTTAAAGAAAGGTGAAGTTCACAGTGTAAACGGATTGTACGCGTGTTCACTGTCTCTTGTGAACAGGGCTTCTTCCTATTGATTTCTTCAGTACACTCCAAGTCACACTGTTTGTTGCAGAATACTCTTCACCCCACATTCCAGGGGCTTGCTCTGACTGTGGGGCTTGCTCTGACTGTGCACTGTCTCTCCCGGGCCTTCCCTAGCTTCTTTCCGAGTTGTAGGGCTGAACCCTGGAATAAGAAACAGGTTCTGGAATTAAGACTTGGTGGGTCCTGCCTCTGATGTAGCCCTGCTTGCTGTGCTACTGGAACAGAGTCCCTTCCGTGGAAGGAAAGGGAGCCCTAGATGCAGCCCAGCCCTCGGGGTCTTTAGCTGCAGGCCTCTCCCTCATCCTACACTCCTCCTTAGCTTGGGGAGGGTTCCAGTGTTCACATGCTGGCACTCTTAGCTTCTCTGTTCAAGGTGTTTCCATAAGAATAATAAAGATGGGGGATTCCGTCATCTAAACTTGGTCTTCTGTGTGTTCATTGGATATGCCCTTTGCGATAACAGAATGCACAAAGTAGAATTTATGTCTGGACTTCATTTATTTACATCCTCCTCTTTCTCCCCAGTAGTGAGAGAGCCAGTAGTAGAGAGCCAGTTTGGTGTCGTGGTTAAGTGTGCTGACTCTAATCTGGGAGAACCGGGTTTGATTCCCCACTCCTCCACTTGCACCTGCTGATGTGATCTTGGGTCAGTCACAAGCTCTGGCACAGCTGTTCCTGAAAGAGCAGTTTGTGTCAGAGTTCTCTCAGCCCCACCCACCTCACAGGGTGTCTGTTGTGGGGAGGAAAGGGAGGGGAAAGGAGTTTGTCAGCCGCTCTGAGACTCCAAGTGAAGGGCGGGGTATAATTCCAATCTCTTCTTCTTCTAAGTGGCTGTTCCCTCTAAGCTGTGGAGTCTCGTGAGCAAATATCCTACTTTGTGAGCTCCTGGCATTAAAGTTGTGAGCGAGCCATTTGGATACTGCATAAATTAGTTTGCTCTGGAGCCCTCCTTCCCGAGCTAAGACAAAAATGTGTGAGCCGGAGGCTTAAAAACGGTGAGCTAGCTCACACTAACTCAGCTTAGAGGGAACACTGGGCCTGCCAGCCTTCTCCTCTCCTCCCCTTTATCTTCCCAACAGCCCTGTGAGACTGGCTGGCCCAAAGTCACCCCGTGACCTTCCAAGATAGCCTGCGGATTTGAACCTGGACTCTCCCAGATTCAGCTCTGGGTTGGGAAATACCGGGAGAGTTTGGGGGCAGAGCCTGGGGGGGGCAGGGACCTCAGTGGGGTACACTGCCGTAGACCCCAGCTGACCCTCCACCAGCTGACCCTCCAGAGCAGCCATTTTCTCCAGGGGAACCGATCTTAGCCATCTAGAGCTCAGCTGTAATAGTGGGAGGGCTCCAGGTGCCACCTGGAGATTGGCAACCCCGCAGAGGATTGAGCTGATAATTATCCAAGCACACCGTTGTCAGAGAACTGGATGCAGCCTGCAGTCTTCTCCTCCTCCTCAAACAGATCTGCAGTTGGCGGCTGACTATGTCGAAACCATCTGATAGCGTTAGTAAGACTTGCCAGGGGTCATTTTGTAGAAAAAGAGGTGCAGGAGCTCATTAGCATAACTCATTTGCATATGCCACACCCCCTGGCATCACCGGAAGTGTGTCAGAAGGCAACACCCGCCGCTCAGGCTCTTTCCTGGCTTTACCATATG